CAGGCAAAGAAGGAAGCCCAGGCAAAGAAGGAAGCCCAGGCAAAGAAGGAAGCCCAGGCAAGAAAAGAGGCCAGACGGCGAAGAGCAGAGTTGGAGCGACAACAGGCTCTGCAAAAGAAACAAGCCAAACAAAAGGGGAAAAAAACCTCCATGATTACCAGCGAGGTGAAGTCCGTCCCGGTTAAGATTGAAGTCGCCGGGTTTCCAAACGCGTCAGACGAGGTTGAGGCCATTTAATATCGTCGCGGTCACAAAAAAGTTCGGAGTTCGGAATGCGGCATCTGGAAAGCTCTTGGGTTATCATGTCTTCTGGAGATTATCTGGTTCGGCAGAGCGGCATCAGGACGAGGAACGGTTTGGCGTCCATTGTTTGTCGGAGGGAAGTTACGTCTTCCTCATGGCGCCTAAGGACGACCTATAACCTCTAGGAATGAGGACGGGGCTATGATTGGGAATTTGTCAAAGTTCGAGCTTGAAGGACGTGCAGGAATCGCCCGCCGCTCTATTTCTTTAAGCATATATTGAAGCCTCTACCAACATATCGAATTGAAAGTCCCTTTCGGCATGCTTTCTCACCGTCCCTGTGCTTGTCTCACAATCAGTGACTGCCAGTTAATATATCTAGTCCTCAATTCCTTCTGTAACCGAAAAGGTGTGGTGGCTGCCTGGTCGCGTGACTCAGAAGTAAATCTTCCTACTTACATCCCCTGCAACAACAGCACCCGTAATTCCTGTTACCACCTATCTTTTGTTCTCCAACACAAGAACTTCGATCTATCTCACCGTTAGTCCTGGCTCGTTCGACAACGACGACAACGACAACACTCCAACCAATAAAACAATGAGCGATCCAGCCGAAACCCTGACCGGTTCCTGTCTTTGCGGGGCCTGGAGATACACGGTCCTCAAACAGCCCGTCAAGAGCATCATCTGCCACTGCGACGCCTGCAAAAAATGGTCTGGCTCGGTTTTCATGGCCAACATCCTATTTCCGCGCTCCGCTCTGGACCTCAGGCCCGACAACGCTATCATCCCACCACCGCAAATGACTACCTACGGCGACAAAGGCTCCGACTCGGGCCGCACGGTCAACCGCCACTTCTGTGCTAGATGTGGTAGTCCGCTGTACTGCTGCACCTCGGACTTTCAGGATATGATCTCGTTGCCGGCCGGGTCTATTGATGGACCGCTCGGGGCCGGATCTGGGGCAGAGCATGCGATGTTGACGGGAGAAGAGCGACGACTGAAGGGTCTGGACCCTGAGATCGAGTTTTATTGTCAAAGAGCGACACCCTGGGTGGAAATCAAATGCAAGACCTCGAAGCTTCAAAGTTTGGGGGAGTTGGGAAAGGACGGGCAGAAGCCTTAGCTGTTGCGGCACTCTTCATCTTTCTGTTCCTTCCAGAATTTAGTGCGCAGGAGTGGTGACAAGGCATACTTGATTCTTTCGCGTTGAAATTGAGGGGGACGTTCCTGGCGCCGTGATGGGGTAGAGAAGGTTACTCCTTCACCTTTTGTGTCTAGAAAAAGCAAACCGAAAAGTACGACAAGCTGGATGTTCAGCTTGGCAGGTGGTTGCGATATGCCTATATTCTCAGGTTCTGCGGCATCAAATCGCTCGAAGACTCCAGAAGGTATAGAATGTTTCGTTTCTGCTGTTATAGCAAGTTAGATATCTAGTATCTAGAAAAACGAACACTGCTAAGAACAGCAAGTAACTGCCCCTTTTCGCCCCCTGACGAGGCTGAGGGGATTTTCCTTAGCGCCGATTTGGAGAAAGTTGAAGCCACCTCTCGCGTCGACCATTTTTGCGGAGTTGAAAGGACGCACGAGCCACTCCGACTCTACGACAACTTTTCCTTTTCCCTATTCAATTCGTCGCTCACTGTCCTTGTGTACCAATTTTCTTTTGACAACTGTATCTGATCAGTGCCCATTGTATTGACAAAGGTCATCGGTACCCCAGAACAGTCCAACAGCGCAGCCCCAAGCGGCTTGCGCACCCAGGTCAAGTCACCATGTCCTCCGAATACAATTACGATGACCAGGGTCAATTCTTCCCATTCTTCATGCTGACCATGGCCGGCTTGGTCACGGTGCCCCTCACGTATAACGTCCTCAAAGCATCCACAGACCTCGAACAAACCGCGACCCGAGTAAAGTCAGATTTCAAACCTCACAATGTTGACATCATCGAGGCGCAGAGGAGGAGACGAAAGAGGCAGAATCGCAAGACAAAAAGGATCATAGCGGTGATCGTGGGCTATACATTCATGGCTTACATGATATATTTGATCATCGTCACGCAGAGAACGGTCCCCAAGATGTGGGATCCCTACGATATCTTGGGCGTGTCAAGGGTACGTCGAAGAATATGGTTGTTGCGACAGACAGATGCTGACAAGCAGACAGAGTGCGTCGGAGCGGGAAATTGACAAATTCTACAAGAGGCTATCGCTCAAGTTCCATCCTGACAAGGCCAAGCCCGATGCCTCCAAGAACGAAACCATGGACGACGTGAACGATCGCTGGGTGGAAATGACAAAGGCCTACAAGGCATTGACGGATGACGAGATCAGAAACAACTATCTACAATATGGCAACCCCGATGGGAAGCAATCCACGAGTATCGGCATTGCATTGCCCAAGTGGATGGTCGAAGAGGGCAACCGCTGGTTTGTGGTCGCCTTCTACGGCATCCTTCTTGGAATCATTCTCCCCTACACGTTGGGGAAGTGGTGGTATGGAACTCAGGCTCTCACAAAGGACAAAGTCCTCCATGCTAGCGCAGGCAATCTATTCCGAGAGTGGAAGGAAGATCTATCGGAGGGCGCCGTCGTGGCAGCCACCAGTATCGGCGAAGAATTCAAAGAGACTCTGAAAGGACCTAGGAGTGATGCTGGTGCTGCAAAGGTGGAAAGCAAAGTCCTCAGCAGTTCTGCCCTTACAGAAGCAGACAAGGAACGATTGAAAGCCATCGACGACCCAGTGCGACGGAAAACACTTGCCCTTCTCTGGGCCTACCTGGCTCGGATCGACTTGGACGACCCCGAGCTGGAGAAAGAGAAGTTCGATGTCGCCCCAACCGCTCTCTTGTTGAACAACTCGTTTGCATCAATAACTCTGCCATTTGGCATGGTGAAACCCCTCTTAGCATCCTATCACACCTCACAGAATATCATCCAAGCCGTTCCGCCCTCGGCTTCAGCAATTCTCCAACTTCCCAACTTCACACCGGCAATCGCTGACAAGATCGTCAAATCCTCAAAGTCGCCAATGACATTTCAAAAGTTCATGTCTCTCCCGTCCACAACACGAAGACAGCTGTGCTCTGATCTTTCGGATGAACAATACAACCAAGCAATGGCGGTGGCCGCTCAAATCCCCCATCTTGTCATCGCAAAGGCCTTCTTCAAAGTTGTTGGCGAGCGCGTCGTCACGCCTGGGTCATTGGTTCAACTCGTGATCAAAGCCCGCGTTATCCCTCCTGGAACACCAGAAAAGGAGATACCCCCAATCAACCCACTGGATCTCGAGGACATCGACCCAGATGAAGGAGACCTGGATGCGTTGCATGGTCGGAAACCGGCAAAGTCGAAGAGAAAGAAACTCCCCGATGGCTCGTACGTGGAAGATGATGCCAAAGAAGGAAGTGTACAACCGCCTCTGGCACATGCACCCTATTTTGCCGCAGACCACGCTCCTCGATGGCACGTCTTTCTCGCAGAAGCACGTACCGGCCGTATTTCTGTTCCCCCCTTCACATTTACCAGTTTCGACCGGCCCATATTTCACCCGGACACTGGTAAACCCACTTTTAACGTCGTCACTTTGAAATGTCCCTTTCAGGCACCGCCCCAGGTCCACGCCTTTCCGTTTGTCATGCACTTGGTGTGTGATAGTTACATCGGGCTGGACGAGAAGGTAGACGTGGTGTTGGACGTGAGAGACCCCAAGGAAGCTGAAGTGGTCGAAAGTGACGACGACATTAGCGAACCCGAGGAAGGTATGTATCTCGACCCAACCTTGTCACAAACTGCAGACACCAGAAGAGTAACGCTAACGATTCCTGACCAAACAGATTCTCTCGCGGGTCAACTCCAAGCGATGAAGTCCGGCGGCCTGACCGGCTCCCCAGCGACACCGAAGAAGAAAAAGAAGAAGGCCGTGGCTGCCGACACGAAAGGGATTCCTGTGGCTCAGACTCAAGCCAACACGACGCAAGAAGCAAGCGATGACGACGACGAAAGCGACACCGATGGTGACGATGATGACAGTGACACCTCCGAGACGGATACCGAGACAGAGGACGAGGACTCGTGAGAGACACGACAAAAAGGGAACATGAATTGAGGACTCTATGTTGTCTTTTCCTGTCCTATGTTATGCTGTGCTATGCTGTGTTGCCTTGTATTGTGTTGTATTACATTTATATTGCACTGCACTGTGAGCATTGACCAACGGTGTATCCCTCGACCCCTTTCAGGCGTCCATACTCGGTATACAGTATTTGCATAGCACAGCATGGCATAGCCTTGTTTTCTCCTCATATCCCATCTTGAACGTCTCCCCGGCCCCAGACCAGGATCTGGTTCTGATACGACGTGGATACTTTACACTCTGTACTCTGTACTCCGTACTCCGTACATGGACACGACCCAGCAACCCAGTTGCCAGGCATCCAGGGTATTCAGGACATTAGGAAACTTTCAGGAGGAGGGTAACAATAAAGTACGAGTACCAAGGTACATCACATTGCGAACCTAGGTACTTGGTACGATCATGCATGCATGCACGCACACAACAGGAGTTTTTCTGTGTCCGGTACAGTACCGAGTGAGGATGTATGCGTCTCGCGCGAATGGATCCAATTGAGATGGATCGAAGGAGTACGGAGTCTAGGTCGAGAAAATAGGAGATATGGAATTTGAAACTGCATTGTCTTGTGGATGGTACGGAGAACCCATATCCGTGCTGGCACGCAAATGCTGTCAACTTGTCATGTCGCTCCGTTGTCGCAACACAGTTGGCCACGAGTATGTATGACTTGACCGTGAGAAAAAAAGATGCCATGTAGCTCATGTCTATGTGACCACCGGCTCCCTCCGACTAACCAACTCAATACTAACTCTTTGCTGTATGCAGCTCAACTTCCCACCACTATTCTTCACCTCAGCGCCCTTCTCGGTTTGGTTATTTCCCCGCCATTTCAATCCCCAGTGTTATCAGTGGCTTCTATGAATTTACTTCTTTCCAGTCACACTGTTGGCCATCTGATTCATGCGGTCCTGGATCTTCTCCCTGCCGTCGTGCATGTATTGGAGAGTTTTCTTGTACTGGCGGTCCTGTGATTGGATGGACAGTTGGGTGACTGCCAACGCACCGACACCGAGAAGGGCACCCACGCCGAGGATTGTGCGGGTCTGCATTGTTATGGGTTTGCTTGATTATGTTTACTTTGCTGCGAGGCGGTGTTGAAGGAGGAAGTATTGGGCCGTTGGCTGTTCGATAATCGGGGGGACAAGTGGGCGCGGTGGAAGGAGTTGTGGAGATTTGTGATAGGCCGACTTGTAGCAAAAACACGCGTCCAGTGAACAGTCGAGCGTAGTCTCTCGAGAGATTGCTGTCGTGTTGGTTTCTGAAGTCGAAGAGGAGATGCTCGGCAATGTGTAGCGCAGGTTCCGGGGTAGACTGAGTAAGGCGCGGAGGAACAAGTGTTCAGGGACTGAACGAATTGATTGAAGGCCGGGGATTCCACAGTGCTATGCAGGAGAAGGGCTGCGTGATAAGGCAAACAGGGGGAAGAGTCTCAGTGTACGAGGAAGAAGGGAGGTCGAACATGAAGTCGAACCGAAGTCGGTGCGCCGCTTATTATATTACTACCTACTGGGTGGCTTGCGTCCCCTTGCGACCGCCCTTTCTGGCATGCAGCTCAATGGCACCTTCCCACTCACCGGGCTGCGCAAGGGCCATCACATGAAACGTTCCAAGGTTGTTGCATTTACCGAGCACCGAAGGCTGGCAGGGAGGGAGCCAGGGAGGTCCAAGGGTGGTTTAGGCGTCAGGCGAGAGTCCCAAGGCTTCCCCGCACCTGCTGATTGTCCCCAAGGTGTCTTTATCCTCCGCAAGGCGCTTACCCCAGAGAAGTTTAGGCACCTCTAATTAGCCTTGACACGAGCTAATCCACCTCATTTGATTTGCTAGGGGTCGCTCGGGCTTCGGCAATACTCGGGCTCCTGGACGCAGGTACGTGGCAAAGCACCTAGAGTTGGAAGACAAGAAAGCTACACCGAACTTGTATGCCAGCTCAGCCTTCATAAAATGCATTAGGGGTCTTGTGCTTCTGCTGCACTGTAGGTGCGCTCTAGAACATGCTCTCGACGCCTGTCAGCCTTGAACAACCCGGACCACTTGACCCTCTATATTCTCGTTATCGTGGAGATCGTTTGTCGATGGAGATGGAGATGGACAAGGATGACCTGGGTCCCTTTCTCCTGGCGACTTTATAGATGGCACGGGAATGTCAAACCACATCACTTTCTCAACAGCCCTCATATCTTGAACCCTCAGCTTTCGGCATCAACAAACAGATCCACCTCGCTAGTGTCTGTGTCTGCCCTTCTCAGTGGTTTTTGGCCTTCTGGTACCATTGCCTCGTGCATGTTCATTTTCGACATTTGGTTATTCATATGAGACATTTCTTCATGGTCATCATCCATCAAATTCGCCGTCTTTTGCTGTTCAGTATGTTGTGATTGGGAGTTCCCTTGTGTCGAATGTTTCTCCGGCGGCGCTGTGCTTGGGGGTCGGGAATCGAAATCAATCAGATTGTCCGAGGCGTGCAGATGACCTCCTGGTTGATGAGAACCATGTTCATTCTGCACGAGAGAGTGGCGCCTCGTTTCTTGGTCGGAGGTTGCAACTTGGCCTGGAAGTATAGGCGCTATTGAGAGAATCTTTTCCACAAGCTCATCCGGCGAGGCTTTGGGATCCCTAATAAGGCCATTAGTCAAGACCAAGGACGAAGCAGTAAGAAAACTCACAAGTGCGCATTAATGATCCACTCCAGATCCTCCTCGCCTTCTTCAGGGGATCCAGGCCGTGCATCCACCCGCCGGAACAATTTGGGCTTCCATTCAACACCCAGTTCTTCTCTTCGCTTGGCCTCTTCTCGTTGCCGATCTTCAATTTTGGCTTTCTCGGCTGTAGCAACTTCATGGTCCCTCGCGTGCACTGCCTGCACCGTCGACTTCCAAAGTCTTTGCGATTCGCGTTCGCCCTGTTCTTCAATTGGCCGGGTCAAAGGAGGGGCATGTTTGGCATGTGTGGCGTCAAAGAGCAATTTTTTCTGTCCGGTTTTGGTATTCTTGATCGTCATCTCTCCGGACCAGTATCCTGACAATTCATATAGGACTTCTCCAGTTCGCTCATTTCTGATAACCCCTCCAATAGCATTGTAGGTGCCCCCAACCCAGCCCTTGGTCTTGAATTCAATATCTGCTGCCAGCCCATTCTCTGGACATCGCACGTAGGAATGGTCGCCCAGCTCATATTTCATCTTGCCGAAGAGAATCCCACGGGCGTACATGTTGGGTTGCGTTAGGATGCTGCTGAGGTTAGAAACGCCTCCAGGGAAATTTGAGGAGCCAAACGTACTATTTTTCTCCACCCTTGGACTTTCCCCGGTTTGTGAATCTCAGGTATGATATGCCTTCCATCATGCTAGCCGCCGAGTTGCCCAGAAACTTGCTGCGAGGCTTCAAAGTACCGTCAACCCGAATATGGTGGTGCGGTGCCATAAAGAAATATGACGACTTTGGGGGATGATGGGACGTCTGTTCCGAAATATAGTAACCTCGCGTCTTGTCTGGATATTCCCACCAGCAGGTGAACACTTCCCCGAGGATCGGGTTCAAGGGTTTCTTGACACCACTAGCAAATAATCAGCTCTGTTGTCAGATACGGCACTGTAAGACGTCGTACGCAGGTCTGATATGCCAGCCACTCAGATAGAACTTGACAACCGAGATAAATCGTTCAATCGGGTCGTCGATAGAAGGCATCGGGAGAAGGGTATCAGGATGGGCCATAAAACTAAAAGCACCCCGTAAGCTTTTGATCGCATTTGTTGCCTTTCAGAAACACCTTACTTTGTTATTCTTTCTAGCATCGATCTTTCCTCGAGGATGAAGGTCGGGAGGGTGATTCTGGACAGGTCGGCCCCAGGGCGCAATTGTGAGATGATGTGTAACAGGACTGATGTTCAGTTGTTAGCACCACGTTCTCCTCAAGTATCGTAAGATCAATCTCACTGTTTCCCTGCTCGGGTTCGATGACCATAGTGTCCTCATCCGCGGCTTCGCGTGTGTCCTCTGAAGAAGAGCGATTGCCTGAGTCTTCAAGTCAGCCTGAAGCAACGGTCGCGCATTGAGGGGCATGACCATACTCTTCGACTCACTGCGATTACGCAGCGCGCCACCTATTGAGTGCTTCATCTTGTCCATTGCCCGCCCTCATGCACGAGGGATGATTCGGTACAATGGAAGAGGTACAGGTGGTAGAGCAAGAAATGGGCAATTGTGATATGACGTCGTGGAGGGTCGGATACGGCGGGGGGGCGAAAGGTCAAGTCTCCTGCGCGACTGATACGAACAAGGCCCTCGAGTGCCACGCTGTTCGGTGGTCAACGGAGGCAGTAGAGGAGACAGAGTGAAGAGCTCGGTGATGACCGTGGAGGAAATTTGGTGACACAGCTGGCACGATGAGTAAAGAGGTCTAAAAAAGATGCCTGTTTCCACTTTCGAGGGGAATTTGCAGTTCTTTTCGTGCATGCGAACCATTCTTCACTGGACAAGCCGCAGCGGGTTTCTGAGCACAAGTGGAGACCCTGAACAAACCAAAAATGCTGCGTCATCCACATGCCGCAAACTGCAAGATCCAAAGAAACATTAATGGGAAAACCTGGGAACCGGCACCAATTAATTCCCGAGTCTCTGGTTCCTCGTAAAAAAAACCATGGTTTCCCCCGTCCATTTAATGCACATCCTGTGCATGCTGGCTCCTGTTCTTCCGATGCGAGTATATTCTATCCGACCAGATTGGAGTTGGTAACAAGTGACGCCGTCGCTTGAATCTACAGAGAACTGTTCTCTGCCATCCAGCTTTCACCTGTTGGCCGATCCCCCTCTGTAACAGCTTTCACGAGCTCCTCCGGGGGCTGATACAGCATAATGTGGAAATGCTCTATAGACGTCTCAGTTAGCCACGATCAGAGCCTCATCCACGTCCACAGCTTCACCTCGGACGATCTCAACTTACCCAACGCATGCACGCTTTTCAGACTCTTCCAGTTCTTAAACCACACGATCCTCTCCCTCTCTATCTTCTTCCCGTCTTTCCCTGCACAGAATGTCCTCTTGATGAACTCTTCGATCTGGCTCTTCGCCTCCGGAGTCACTTCTCCCGTCTCTTCAACCTCGTCGATGGAAAATTTCGTCCACACCACGAGATGTTGTATCCCTTGTTCGACAAAGTACGGCCAGTCGTTGTATAAAATCTTGTAGTCAGAAGAATTACTGAATGGCGGGTCGCCGCTGGGACTGATCATGGGCCAATGGAGGCGATGTTGCTGGATATATAGTAGAACGGAGCCATAGGTCTTCTTGAGATGGTAGACATAGGCAAGATAGCCCCGAAGCTGGCTTGATGGTCGCTGAAAAAGGTGGATATTGTTCGTCCCTTGGACGAGTGAAACGTGTCAGGAACCATCTTTGTAGCTGATGTTGCATGCATGTCGCCCTCTGCTGGTGTTGTGCCCTCACGACACTCGCAACTTCAGGAAAAGGGTAGACTTACGAACTAGCTCCTCAACCTGTCGCCATGTGAATCGTGCGAACTCCTCATCTTTGCGGCTCAAGATCCCAATGTTCTTCTCACTTTGCCCGACCAAGTAGGGTGGACAATCTGCTGTCCATTGACGACTTGGTATATTGTGATTCCACCAAAGTCTCGACAGGTCTTGCTCTTTGCCTGTGTCTGGCGTATTTTCCCGGGGCGTAGGATGGACCGAGTGTGGCATTTTCCTCTCCCAACCGCACTATTATCCACCAAAGGCACTTTGCTAAACCCTTGTTATGTCCTATTGTTCTGGTGTCATAACACGAATGGCAGATCTGGGGTGGTGAGATGGCAAAATCATGGTGACCAAGTGCCACGAATGAGTAACACTGACTGGAAGACCCATAACGCTGCATGATTGGCTACAGTATCCCATCAAGGATCTTTTCTGCGATCACATTCTGGATGCTCGGAATCTCTTCAAGCATTGGTGCGTGTATCTTGTAATCCGAGGTATGACAGCGACTTCTTCTAGCTACAGTGCAGGCTGTGCCAGATGGCTGTGCGCCATCTTGCTCGGTAAGGACTTGTG